AAAAACTAAAATGCACTGGTTTCAACCCCCCCCCCCCCCAACCCCCTTTAGTTAGCCTTCCAGTTTACATAGAGTTCACTGGGTGTTGCTTGTGGTTATCGCTTCAAGGAAAGGAAACACTTTTCCATGTACAGTATGGCCACCAAGTGTGTCATTATCTAGTGAGCCCTTCTAAAGTTAATTTGAATATGTGTCACAAGCTGTATCTTTCAAGTTTCATAGGAAAGACATTTTCTTGTTAGTAAAACTAAATTTAAACAACTATAACGATTCGATTTGTAAAGAATATGAGAGCTTTAAAAACTCGTCTCATTATAAATATTCTTGCTTCAAAACCCAAAGGGGCCATTGCCCCTCAGCCTCCTTTTTGGGTTAAAGCTTAGTTTCACATTTATTGGTCAAAATAAAAAAATCTTTTTCATGCATGTGTTGAAGAAGGATGCTCTGCTTCTTTGCGCATAGCCTGTGAGAAAAAACTTTAAATCCATTCCATTTAAGGAGGTCCTCAGTTGAAAACAATGTAGCTGTGACGTAATTACAGGAAAGGTCTATTATGAAAATCTGCGCAAAATTCCTGAATTTGTAAACAACTACAAACAATTTCTGAAGAATCTGCGCAAAATGCCTTGGTGTACCAAGAACCAAGCATATTTCCTGATCCCTTCCTGTTTGACAAAAACCGTTTCTTGGCTGCAGGACCCCCTGGTCTGCCATATAATTTTTTTAAATATCCAATATTTCTGTGCATTTTTCCCAAGGTGGAAATAACCTGGTTCATACATAAGCTGCGACATGGTCCTGATCCTGTCGCTTTCCACCCATACTATATAGTTTTAATTTTAGTATCAAAATGCCCTCAATTTCATATAACAACGACAATCTAATAAAAGTAACAACCACTAATTATGACGTGATATAGAAATAGCCAATCATAGCTACAACCGTATTTCATTTTTTGACATATTTTGACGTATTTCGATAAAATTGCAGCTCTCTTAGCCGATATTTTCGCACCATGTGTGTGAATAAATTATGGCAACACCCTTCATTTGTCATTATGAACGTTTGCATTGACTCTGATCTCTTTATATAGGTGAATTCGTGGTTAACTTGGTTGGAAACTGCCGCGGAAGAGAGCTCGGAGTCTGAGCCTGAATAAAATTATTAATTAAGTTGCTACAATAATTAATGTAATTTTTAATTCAATTGTAATTTCGAATTTTTCTTCTGCAATATTAAAATAAAAATTCAATAATCATCTTAAACTCTGTGGTATGTCTGCTTAATACGTTTATTAAAGTATTTTAGTGCAATGATTGGTCCTAAAGGGTTTTAATATGAAGTGGACAATTGTCTTATTCTCGCCTACGAATTACTTATGTTTTGTTCGACATAATAAAATATCTACAGTCAAACCTCCTATGGACGCCTCGTGTCCGCTCATGCGAGTTCATCAATGGCCGAAATGATATTTTGATATTACTGAGGTCCTTATGTCCAATACGATGGTAACGTTTGGAAGACTGGTCACTTTCGTTCATTGCATCTTATCTCATTCAAAATATTTTCTTTTGTTACGCCCTGTTATAGACTTGCAGCTATTTTCCCCCGTCTTCCTTTTGACAACCTGGTAAGCTCCCATCGCTTTGTGTGGCCATCAGTACGCGAGTGTGGACTGGACTGCAACGCGATATAAATAGAAATACGACGTACGGTTGAACGCAGTCATGTTGAATACTTTAAAGATGATGTCCACTCCTGTGCACATGCGCGAACTTTGTTTACGTTTTGAACTGCTATATTTGTAAAATATGATTTACTAACTGAATATCTAACACTTTTCTGGTTCGCTATACTTGTAAATGAATAGAAACTCCACGTTTCAATTCAAAAAAGTTCGAAAAATGCAAAATTTGGGCAATGTTTATATCTGGGGGTCCCCCTTTGTTATGAACAGAACTGATGCGCAGAACGGAGTGGACATCATCTTTAAAGGTTCGTATGATTGTCAAAAGCTAAATGTTATAATAAGTAAATAACATTTGTTCTAAAAAATATGTAAGGCAAAGTTCATAACAAGATATTTCTAATTTTCTCCCGCTTCTAAAAATAAGACTTGATTCAAAACTTGTTTATTGTCGAATACGGATGATAAAGTAATCATTTTTATTTATATGTTGCTTTGAAAGCCCTCAATTGGACAAACCATGTTCTTTTAACCTGAGTATTAGGCTCTATTTTACAAATACCACCCACAGCAGTGGCGGCGGTACAGGGGGCTAGGGGGGATTTAGCACCCCCCAGAAGTAAAAGTGGAGGAGGGGCTTAGCCCCCCCCCCCCCAAAAAAAAAAATACATGAAGAATGCGAGATCATTTATATACAAACTACGAAGTCGTTAAATTGCTTGCCGGCTAAAATGCAAAAGAAAATACCCTACTTTGTGATCAAGTGAATGTAAATTGATTTTCTTTCACCCTGCATGAGTATATATATCTTTAATTTATATATCTTTGACTATACCGTAAATATTACAAAGTCAGAGTATGGTGAATTGTGGTTATTTAGGAAGTGGGACAAATAAAAGTTAAGTGAAGAAGTTTCAGACTTTCCTAATGGGTGATTCCAGTTATAGACGAAATTTTGATCAAAGCAAGAATAAAGAAATCCAACACCACAGCTAGAAAGAGCGTCTTAGAATGAGTAAAACTGCAAAGATTGGTTCCTAAATGTTTTAAAATGAAAAACATATAGCCCTGTGAAGTTCACAAATTTTGTATATATTTGTATTACGCGCGGTAAAATACCACTTTCGGCTCAAAAATGGTTAGTTTTCCCGCGCGTAATGCAAATACAGTATATACAAAATTTGCGAACTTCACAGGGCTATATTTACCTCATTTTGCAACATTTCCCAACCAAGCTTTGCATATTTACTCATTTTTAAGATACTCTTTCCAGCTATGGACGATTTCGAATAGAGCATAGATAACAAGAACTTCTGATGCAAGCATTGCATTTATCTTGTGTTTGTGCTCTTAGTGTGTCAAAGCGAGAGTATGGACTATGGAATACAGTTGTATTTCCAGTTTGGTTAACATTTTTAAATCATTAAAATGCTTAATATTATGTTTTATGTCCAGTCAGACAAAATTTAACACTGCTTATGTGCTGATTGCGCAGACCGTATACTGTGATCTCTTCAAGCTTTTTGCGGCTTATAATTGGTCGTTAATTTGCTTCGATTGCTCATTAATTCATCATGGGTGATCGAGTCATGAGAACAAATTATCTATGGCTATGCATAATTGCATATCCGTATTTTTGTAGATTTTAAAAGGTAGGCAGGAGAAATCACTACACGCTATGCCGTTTGCGGTTTGTGTTTCCACTTAGTCAAAATCTATGATAAACTTTTTAAAATTTAGCTCCCCCAAAAAAAAAAATGTTCCGCCGCCCCTGACCCACAGCAAAGTTTATATTTCGGTATCCAATCAAAATGTCGCAATATAAATTTATACTTCACACAACGCCAACAACAATCTAATTATAGTTGCGATCACTATAAAATGTACCAACAACAATAGTATAATCTAATTAGCACCGACCAATCAAATGACAGATTAAAAAATCTTTTGTTTCATAGACCAATCATATGGTTACAACCGAAATACGGTTGTACGGCATGGACTTTTCTTAACGTTTGTATCAGGCCTATTTATTTATTTATAGGCCTGATCGCAGGTTAATGTTCTTTCGGAGGAGGAACGTAAATAGTACTATTAGGCGATGTGAAAATTATTGCTATGTATCGATTCTGAGTTATTCGACTCGATGTCGGAGAGTATATTTGAGAAGTCCACTTACTTCGTTACTTGACACCACTGGCAATGCAGGAAAGGTCAGGTCAAATAAGCGCAAACTGAACTACTGAAGTTATGCACGTATCAACCATTCGGCATTCGATCCAAAGATGATTCGTATTTATTTCGGGAATAGAACTTGCAAAATAGAAGTTGAAAAATGCACATAATTTGCGCGCGAAAGACCTCCCTCCCCAAAAAACTCTTTTGAGCCGATAGCCGACTTGAACCAAGTCTAGAATGTGATCTTCATTTATATATATACTTTTTATTTTATACAATGTTAAAACGAGTTATAAGTGACAATGGTCTTTTTAGCTCGTATACACATCTGGTTTGAACATATAGACCTTTTTTACACTAATTTCTGTTTCTACTATCATTTAATTAATTAAACAAAATTTCAGGTAAAATTTTAAAATATGTATCAAGTTTTTTCCTCCAAATTTTCATCTGCGACGCTACACCTTTACCATCGATTAAGTTAGTTTTGATAGTTTCATAGTTGTGTACTGTTGGTGTATTAATAATGTTCAACGCGTCTAAGCTTTGGACAGGTACACAGTAGTTTCATACCTTCCTTGCGGAGCATTTCATTTCGCCAAAAGAAAATGACGCAATTTAATGTAGAGCTCATGCTTAAGCTTGTGTTTCCCCAGAGGCGAATCAGCATCAATGTATTTTCTTGTGCAGCCGAGGTGGCCCTGAGTAGTGCGTACACAATAACTGGAGTTATACACACGAAGAAACAGCCAACGGCCAACAGGCATGTGCAACTCTTTTTCAAAAGTGCCAAGTGCGTTTTGGGTGCTTGGCTGTTACGTTTCACCCAGACAGCGATACTGAACATTCTGCAATTCATGACAACCAAGAGAAGCATGCAAGTTGTTCCGAATAGAAACGCTGCTGCGTAGTAAACTGCAGCCTTGAAATATTTGAAGAATCGGAACATTCGTATAACAATTAACAACAACTGCATTGTAACTGTCAGGGCCAAAAGCCGTCGTCTTGTCACAGAGACTTTGTGAAATAATGGTCGGGTTAGTGCAAGGTAGCGATCGATCGTCATCGTCAGAAGTGCCAATATTGAAAAGCCTTGGGTGTAATTGGAAACGATTATTCCAACTTCGGCCAAGTGATATCCGTCATTTCCTGGAGTGGACCAATGTGCTGAACTGTTATCACCAGTTGACCAGGGTACAGCAGATAAAATTACTGAAGGATGCCCGAACACGACTACAAGTAGATCAAAACTAGAAAGAACAAAGATCATAAAGTTGCAAGTTCCTTTGCGGAGTTGGGTAGACTTCAACATGGTGATGACGACCACTAAATTGAGAAATGTTCCTGCAAATGTGAAGAAACCATTTACAGTACATAGAAATATCAAATTGATCAACCTGTACAAATTCATTTCAGATTTTCGACAGCTATATAGCTTTACATCCCAGAACGAATATGTTTCGCAAGGTGTTCCTGGCAAGACAGTCAGTTCTGCTGAAAAACATGGCAATAACTTCCTTCTGAAATCTTTTGTTGACTCCCCACAATGTCAACTGCAAAACAACTCGTTCAATTAAAAGATTAGATTTGAACCACTGATCAAAATGACTCCATCATCCATGGGACAGTAGTGCATCTGTTATCATAAATGAATTTAATTAAACTCTGTTAATTCAAACGAGGATGAGAACTGCATGATAATAGCAGGGCACTATAAATATAGGGGTGTTTTATAGTGCCCTGATAATAGTCGCAACTCTCGCTTGACTTTCAGTTCTCGTCGACCGCTCATCAACTTTGCACTGGTTCAAATTTTGATGAGAGTCATGAGATATTTTGCTACGCCTGGTAATATCCTGCATGTCGACGTCAGTGTAATCGGTGCAATTCTTGTTCTTGTACGTTTGACTGGAACATGAGATTTGAGAAAACTCAGTTTTCTTATCAACTCTCGTCCTCGTTCGACATAGGCTTTACGCAATGATTGTCATATTGGCCGTGACCACAAAAAATCCATTGTGCTGTTGCTGATATGATATGTTAGAAATTATTATTATTTCTGGTTATATATTATTGCTTGGGCGCAAAACATATTGTCTTGACTCTTGATAAAAATTGATCAACAGTGGTGTTCTCAAATATGCCAGTTAATAACTAATGCGGTTAGATCAATACTGTATGAAGGTCTCTTAAGCTTCTGTCCCAAACATATTCTGGAGCTCATTAAAAAAAAAGAGTAAGGTACCTTTTCACGTCTCATACGACAAGCAGTGTTAGTTCAGTTCAGTTCAGTTTAGTTCAAGATGAAATTGGTCACCATCGATTTGATATTTTAGTAAGGAATCTTGCAGATTTGCAAACCTCTTCTTATATTTTCGCTTCAAAATTTACTCTCATCCATTTGAAACGACTCTCTTTCCAGTCCTAGTCTTGAGATGAGTAATGTAAATATGCATGCAGATTACCATAGAACAAAACAAATGATAATTTTTCGGTTCATGTAAGGTAATCCATGCAATCCTTGGATTGAGAAAGTCCTCACTTCACTCAACCTCTAGAAAGAATAGTTTAGAGCTATGGGAGAAAAGTATCGTGAAACACCTGTATTGCCAAGGGTGGGTAGTAGCGAAGTAGTGGCAGTTCGCTACTGTAGCGAACTACAAATTTCAAGTAGCCAGTAGTTTTTTACTACTTTTTTTAAAAAGTAGCTTTAGTTATAGCGAACTACATTTTGCTTAAAAGTAGCCAAGTAGTTGGCATATAGTAAAACGCGGACTGGACTGGACTGGTAAAACGCGGACTGGACTCAAATTAGTAAAACGCGGACTGGACTCTATTAGTAAAACGCGGATTGGACTCTATTAATAAAACGCGGACTAGGACCACAATTTCGCGCCAAAATTTGACCAAAATGGAACAAAATGGCAGCGAGCTTTAAAATCCCAACAAGTCTGAAAAGAAAGGCAAAAAGGGATCCAGAGTTGCCAAAGTTTGCGTGGAAACTTTTCAAAAAAGAGAAAATAAGTTGGATTACGTTTGGGTCCGTATACCTAGCAAAATACAAAGGAAAGACCAGAAAAAGTGCCAAAACAAAAATGTCGAGTTCATTGTCTCGCCGAAATCCTGTTTCGAGAAAGAAGCCGCACTGTTGAACAGTACAAAAGGCCACAAGAACATAATCCGGTTCCATGAATTTTCAATAATGATGGAGTATTCTTGCTTCGATTTTCGCCCGTTTGGAGTTGCAAAAAGTCTTTGCACTCTAGAAGATTTTGTCCATTTCGTAGACGACGACTTTGACTCCTTCGCAGACTTGCTGCAAACATGCGGCAAAGATGTTGTCGCAGGTTTGAAATATTTGTACCACAAGAATATCGCTCACCAGTGTCAAGCGAAATTCCTGACCTCTGCGAAATACCTGACAAGCGTGACGGGTCAGAAATTTCGCGCGTACAGGCGCGAAATACATGACACTTGCTAAATTCTAAGTCGGCCAAAACTGTTTTTTAGAGTTTAGATAAAATAATCATGATGTTAATTTCTAATACTTCGTTAAATATTTCAAATCGTCATCGCTAAGTTTTAATCGGTTGACTTTGGCTTAAGTCGGTTTCTCGACTTACAAACCAAGTAATTTTTTTATGTCAATGAAATCACCGTTTTGGGTTCCCCGAACTTTTCTCATCCTGCATGCCTTTGGCATAAAGTATATGATACATCATATACTTGAAAAAGCATGCACTGAATGAAAATTAAGTAGTGGAAAGTGATTATCTTAATTCATAATATTTATTGAATGATAACGATATTCTTGTTGTGCAAATATTTCAAACCTTCGACAACACTCTTTGGCACATGTTGACAGCAAGTCTGCGAAGGAGTCAAAATCGTCGTCTACGAAATGGACAAAATCTTCTACAGTGCTAAGACTTTTTGCAACTCCAAACGGGCGAAAATCGAAGCAAGAATACTCCATCATTATAGAAAATTCAAGGAACCGGATTATGTTCCTGTGGCCTTTTGTACTGTTCAACAGTGCGGCTTCTTTCACGAAACAGGATTTCGGCGAGACAATGAACTCGATATTATTGTTTTTGCCTGGCACTTTTTCTGGTCTTTCCTTTGTATTTTGCTAGGTATACGGACCCAAACGTACCGCAACCCAACTTATTTTCTTTTTGAAAAGTTTCCACGCAAACTTTGGCAACTCTGGATCCCTTTTTGCCTTTCTTTTCAGACTTGTTGGAATTTTAAAGCTCGCTGTCATTTTGTAGAGTGCCATTTTTTAATACTATTAATAGAGTCCAGTCCGCGTTTTACTAATAGAGTCCAGTCCGCGTTTTACTAATAGAGTCCAGTCCGCGTTTTACTAATAGAGTCCAGTCCGCGTTTTACTAATAGAGTCCAGTCCGCGTTTTGCTAATAGAGTCCAGTCCGCGTTTTACTAATAGAGTCCAGTCCGCGTTTTACCAGTCCAATCCAGTCCGCGTTTTACTATATGCCCAAGTAGTTGACTACTTTTCAAACAGCGAATCGCTATTCGTATTCGCTACTTTTTAAAATTGTTAGCAACTTGATAGAATAGAATGTTATTAAGACACGGTTTGCTTACTTTAAATATTGCCATGCAACTGTGCAAGTGCCATCTTATTTACTCGCCAGTCAATTTGTTATAGGTTTGATTACAGTCTGAGCCAGTATAGATACTCCAAAAACAGTAAAATTAAAAGATACATACATGTATAGAGTAGCGAAATAGCGAAATAGTTTGCTACATTATTTAAGCTGTAGCTGTAGTCAGTAGAGAACGATTTTTGTTCCAAAGTACATACTGTTTTTGAAGTAGCTGTAGTTATAGCGGACTACAAAAATTTTGTAGTCAACCCACCCTTGTGTATTGCCTTATACAATTGTTTTCAGTCAATTATTTTTTACATCTTGTTATCGACAACTGAGAAAAACACATTTCATTTTCTTTAATGATTGGATTTAATTGAAGATTGCAATAGTTAATAAATTGAAGTATAATTTAAGCACCGTATGGCCACTGTTTGTTTTCCACTAAGTTAACTAATAACAGTTTAGGTAACAGTTTAGAACAAATAGAGTTATCTAGTGACAATCGAAAACGCAGGAAATGCTGTATCTAGGGAGAGCAATATACAGTAGAACTGTGGGAAAAAATATAGAAAAACACCTGCCATGCGTTACACAACTGTTATTACGAAATAGGTTCCAGTTATTTTTGTTATTGACAACTGTAAAAATCATTTCATCATTCAAACAGATTGCAATGGAATAAATTAGATGATAATTTTAATTTTAAACGGTAAAAATTAAATTTTTACTGAGCAAAAGTCACCATGGTTGCCATTTTTCTTTGCTCAGTGAATGATAATAGATGATTCGAGCTATAGACTGAATTTTGATTTAGGCAAGAAAAACAAAAGCCATCACCACAGCTAGAAAGAGTATGTTAGAATTAGTTGAAAATTGCAAAGTTTGGTTGCGAAATGTTGTAAAATGAGGAAAATTTAGCCCTTCGAAATTTGCAAATTTTGTATTTTGTTTTTCATACGTGCGTACATCCACGTAAAAGTTGAATTCGCTTAAAATTTCATATAAGTGCAAATAACCTTAACAAATACACATTAAATCATACACAAAACTGAATGCTGTCCTTTTATAAATTTAGTTATTTCATAAGTAGGATGTAAAGCAAATTCAACTTTTACGTGCGTGTACGCACGCATGAAAAAGGCTATTAGTAAAACACGGAGCACGGAGCACACGAAGTACGGAGCAGTAGAAAAACGAAAACCTTTATAATAAAATACACTGTTTACTATTACAAATTTTTGTTATTATTATTAAAAACTTGCCGTTTGAACAGTTTAACGTCACTTTTTTCTGATTTCTACCACTTTATTTTCTGCCCTTTAGTCTTTGAATTTCCTGACACAAGAGGTGGTGTTCCGCTCAAAATTGAAAAAAGTTTAAAGTTAGGTTAAAATTATATCTTTTTGTAACCCATGGAAGGTAAACTGACACTGAATAAAATTATGTCTTCGATACATATGTTGTTGCCATGGTAACCAGGTTGGATGCCCGGAGATCTGAGTAATTCTAGCGATTTTCCAATCATTGGGAAATTGTTAGGGATAGTGAATTACCAAAATTTTTAGGATACGAGAGGAGATACCATCGATTCCCGATGCCTTATTGCAAGGGTCCTAAACCATGAAATAGAAATTTCAAAAGATAATTTTCAGAAGTTTCTTGAAAGCTAGGGAGCCATTAACTGGATGGTGTACATCACTGAGATTACTATCCGGTAAAATACTCGATCGAGGAATTTTATTCGCAAGTATAACGATAAAAGCACCAAGTGCGATGCTAGAAGCACAGCGTATAATGTTAGAAGCACCGAATAAAATAACATTGGAGTACTTCAAACAGTTATGGCTTTCCATACGGAAAATTGCATCGCTGCCACAAGACTATATGCAGTATAAATAAAAATTCTTATGTTGAATTATGCGTGTAATTATATGCGTGTATTGGGCTGTGCCACAGGGCGTGATTGTTTACGACAGATCAATCTAAGCGGCTTACCGTGCTTCATAGACTTAGTCTCGTGAAATTTTACAGTAACTCAACTTTCCATCGCCGGAGTGTGCTTTTCGTGAGATACTTTATAACGGTAAGTACGATATGTTGGTAAAATGTAGTCATAAAATGTACTGGTATAAAATGTACTTAGTGACAGTATGTATAGCTATGTATGTATCTGGCGTGATCGTTCAACCGTAATATTCCCATTTTTAGTATTCCCATCGTCTCGAGAGCTTGAACAGAGTGCGTTAGTTTCTCATGAAATTCTGCGATCTTACGTGGGTTAGTACCCGTAATATGAGGCAGATCTAAAATCTCCTTCACGTAGCATTTTACAATCTCTGATTCTGTGCCGTATTTGTCTTCGAGAATGGCTTTCGCTCGGTTGTACCCCTCAGGGGTGAAGGGAAGGGCTTCAATGCAACGTTTTATTTTCGGTTCAAGCAACTCTAGCACATAGGTAAACTTGGTTATTGGTGCGATGGAGCTTTTGTCTATCGCTTCGCAAAATTGACCCCAGAACTTGGGCCAATTCATGTAAGACTCTTCGAATTTCGATATAGCAAGTTTTGGCAATTTCGCATTTTGCGTGGTAAATACTTCGCATTCCTGAGTTTCCGGTTTAGTTTTTTACTGCTTCGCAAGTTCAGCTTGCATTTCTAACTTTTTCTCTTGCAACTTTAACTCGTATTTAAACTGCTCCTCCTGCGTTACAAACTTTTCTGCTCGTTCCGCGTCGACGAGCCATTTCTCAAGTCGCATCATAGCCTCGTCAGCTATGTCAAATTTGTGGTCAATTTCGTCACTCAATTCGTTAATTAATTTTCGAAAGTTCTTCCTTCTCGGTTATTTTAGCTGCCTCAACAGTGCGTTTGCACTCGTGCGTTTCTTTTGCAGTAGTTTGTAACGCCTCAAGGTGCCGCTTAATAGCTACTCGCTTATACCTGAGTCAAGAATGGCTTGTGTAAGTCTTTCAACTCCAGTTCTTAGTTGCGTTAACTTCGTCTCCAGGTCCGTCATCTCTTTCTCCATTCTCGTACAAGTGTTCACTTTAATGTTCTTTGAATAAACTGGCGGTACACTTATCCCGTCGGAGGTGCCACTATGTCGAAAATGTTCCCTCCGTTGAACTGTAGTTCTCGACACAATCACTCTTTTTGGTTTATAGGTTTTATTAAAAATATCCACAAATAAAAATAATGAATAAAAAGGTAAAATTCTCACAAATCACGATACACGATCCCAAATTAGCGCACGGGCTATACAAATGACACTTGTCACTGTTGTTACATTCACTCTGTCTCACACTAGGTAGGTAGGTAAAGGTAGGTAGGTAAAACTTTATTTAACTACGCTAACCCCTACAGCGAAGGCTGATTTCCAAGGGGGGCGTAGATTTAAATAGTTAAAAAAATACAATTGATACAAATTATGGTCATACTTTACATTACATTACAGTTAACAACAATTACAATACATTTACAAATACAACTAGTATATAATTATTTACAAATTAAATTAATGTCAGTACTGTTCAATATTTTAAATTAACGTAATTATTTTATTAATTAGTTAGTTAATCAATTAATTAATTGGCCAGGTGTCGTATACATGAATTAAACGAAGCAAGAGTGTGTGTTTGTTTCTTGCTTCATCAGAAAGGCTGTTCCACAATTTCGCTCCTCTATAACTAAGACTTTTTTTAAGATATTCAGTCTTAGGTTTGGGCAAAAAGAGTTTGGTGGAAGAGCCTCGCATATTATAGTAATAAGAGGAAGACGTCCTTTGAAAAATATTGGTTAGTCGTTTTGGCGCCAGTTCGCGAGTTATTTTATACATAAGACTTGCTACGAAATGTGTTCTGCGTTCACTTAAAGGTTTCCATTTCAGTTCGTCTGGAGCAAGTTCAGATTGACCATGTTCGTTTTTATGGCCAGTAATAACTCTAGCTGCCCTAATTTGTAGTTTCTCGAGTCGATCAGAAAGTGTGGCACCAATGGTGTCCCAAACTTCGCAACAATAATCTAGGTGTGGAAGTATAAGTGCATTATAAGCACAAATTAATGTATTATGATCCACACAAGATTTTAGCTTTCTGATCGCCCCAATTCCGGATGAAATCTTCTTAGCAATTTTATCAATATGCTTATCCCACAATAGAAACTCGTCAATATGAACTCCAAGCGCTTTTGTTTCTTTGACCTTTTTAATTGGTGTATCACCAACAAATACATTTGGAGCAGCAAGTAAATTATTTATGTTGAACCGAGATCCTATTAGTAGATACTCAGTTTTGACTAGATTAAGAGATAATCTATTTGCAGAAAGCCATTGTTTAACGTTGGTAAGGTCATGATTTATGGCCACCTCTACATCTTGGATTGACTTGCCAGATACAGTTAGAGTCGTATCGTCGGCAAACATTCTTGTCGACGCGTACTCCAAACTGTTAGGCAGATCATTAATGTAGATCAAGAATAAGAGTGGGCCAAGAATTGAACTTTGAGGGATTCCACATGTAACCAACTTCGTGCCCGACAGAGCGCCATTAACGGAGCACATTTGGGTTCTATTCGCTAAATAGGATCCTAAAAGGTTTAATGATGGCTTCTGTAGGCCATAAAGATCAAGTTTCGTTAAGAGGATGTCATGATTTATGGTGTCGAACGCCTTTTGTAAGTCCAGAAAAACAGCTATATTAAACAAACCACGGTCCATATTAATAAACCATTCATTTGTACTATCTAAAAGAGCAGAAGATGTAGAATGAAACTTCCTAAAACCAAATTGACGAGGGGACAACAACTCCTGTGTAACAAGATACTCATGGAGTTGTTCGTATAATACTTTTTCAAAAAGTTTACTTACTACAGGGAGGATAGAAATGCGGCGATAGTTGTTTAATAAGTTTCGTGGGCCGTTTTTAAATATGGGAGTGACTCTTGCTATTTTCCACTCAAACGGAACAGTTGCACTTGTAATGGCCATATTGAAAATTTTTGTCAATGAGTTTGTAATTACAGGAGCAGCAATGCGAATAATTTTAGCAGGGATTTTGTCAATTCCAGTAGATTTACGAGGATTTAGAGATAACAGAAGTCTGTATATGTTCGACTCAGACACTGTTTGAAAATTAAAGCTACTAGTTGTTGTCGTGATGTAATCCTTGAAATTTCTGTCACCATTGTCGATATTTTTGGCAATATCTGGACCAATATTGGTGAAATAATTATTAAAACACTCCGCTAACTCCGTTGGATGTGAAATTTGTCCTCTCTGTGTTTCAAGACAATTTATTTCTCTACTTTCTTGTTTACGGTTTAGGATTTTATTCACAGTTTTCCATGCTTGTTTGGGATCATGTTTGACTTTCTTAAATTCTCCTTTATAATATGCTGCTTTGTTTCTCGCAATGCATCAGTTACGCGATTTCTAGAGGTTTTGTATGCGTTCTAGTAATTTTCGGATTTATGTCTAATAGCAAGAGATTTAAGGCGATCGCGTTCGCGGATTTGTTTTTTAATTGTACTAGTGAGCCAAGGAACATTTGGTTTACTTTTGACTCTCTTTTCCCTGATTGGGGCATGCCTATCAAGAACTTGTACGAAAAGTGTTTTCCATGTGTGATTCCATGTGTGATTCCATGTGTGACTAAGATTCACTTCACACTAACTCTCTGTACCTGTTACGCCTAACTTAAATGTTTGAAACTGTATCCTCTAATCTATCATTATAAGGCTACGTCATGCACTAATTATTAGCTATGAAAAATGTTATAGAATTGGCTTATCTGTTCTGTCAGTCCCGACAAAACAACGGAAATTAAATTCAGTTTGAGCCGCCATTTTGTTTTTCCGCTACTAGCAGGACATGAGCTAATATCCGGCCAGTAGAGAACCAATCAGATTGCAGAATACCTCATATCCAGACCTTGTGTATATATAATAGTTATCACTTATTTACTGAGACCGAGGGAAACAGTGTGTTTTGTGGACCCGAGACCGTCGATGTTTCCCGAGGCGAAGCCGAGGGAAACATCTACGTTCGAGGGTCCACAAAACACACTGCTTTCCCGAGGTCTCAGTAAATAAGTGTTTTATTATATATCAATAGTCAAAGAAACAAGAAATTAAAGAACAAATGAACGTAAACACATGAAATATTTTATTGTTAAAACGTTATATAAACAATGGCTACACTGCAGTTACTTAAAGCGAAAGTTTTAATTACGTACTAGGCATGTCCAAAGGTCGCACGTGATTTCTTTTGTTATTCGCCGGTAGATAACGTATTATCTCCCTCTCGCGCTGTTGCGAGGGAGACAGCCTAATTTCGTCACCAGGGCTCTCACTTTTGGGGAAATTTCCCCAAAACGGGGAAATTGGCGGATTTTTGGGGAGCGATCTGGGGAATCGCATTTTTTGGGGAAATTTTTGGGGAATTTTTTGAAATATTGGTCAAGCTAGATGGAAGTACATGGAACTTATGTTTCAATTGTTTTTGCCTGGTTTTGTGCACATTTGGTTCAACTTGTGTTGAAAATGATAAGTGACAAACATTCAGCTGATTCATGACTATCATGAATACACAATATAATTTGATTTGCAATGGCAGGTTATGCTGTGCAAGGAAGGAGCACATTCGAGCCTCTGTTGTTTCTTTATAGGTGGTGATTTCGTTTTGACGTTGTAGGCATTCAACAAGGTTGCCTTGTCTTTGTCCAGCCGCTATCTCTGAAAGTGCCCTTTTGTGTTGTGCAGATTGAGTGTGTCGTCGAAGAGCAGTCTTCCGACACGATACTGACTTGTTGCACAATTTGCAGGAGCAAGCATTTTCCCCAGGACGCGGGCGTACCAACCAATCCTTAAATTCTGGATCCTCTAACCACTGATGTCTGAATTGCTGTGCATATACCTTTTTTGCTGTCTTTTGACTCTTTTCAGGCGGTCCTTCGTCTGCTGACTCTGATCCGGACTCTTCTTCCGCGTCTTCGTTTTCTCCGAAAAACGTGAGATTGAAACCGCTCATGTTTAAAACATTAAACACATCATTATTCTTAATATTTTTTGTATAAATTATTAATTTTTGAAGTGTATTTTCCACGTGAATTACGTATTGTTAAGGAAATACTTCATGTTACTATGTTATGTTTGTCTAGGGAATTTTACGGAAATCTGAGGAAATTTTGAGAATTTTTTAGGCAAATCTAAGGAATTCTTAAATTTGATTGTGAGAGCCCTGTTCGTCACTCTCACGTGATATGCTCTCAACCAATAAAACACTAGAAATATGCGACTTTGACTATTGATATATAATAATACAATTTATTATATGACAAGCATTTGTTTTGATGGATCGTGCAATTTGATTGGCTGCATACTGACGAGGCAGGATTTTCCCGTATTGCCCACGGACAATACGCAATTTTTATTGCCCTGCGACGAGAGCGCGCCGAGTTTCAAACTGCAGAAAGAGTCTAAAAGTCTTTCAAACTATTCAAAACGAAGAAAAATAAACCTAAACTAAAGAAAAGGAGCATCTTCTGTGGTTAAAGAACTTTCTCAAAGTGTTTTTGTTAGCGAAAGTCGAAATTACAAGGTAAATTTTACAATGTTTATAACTATTAAACCAGTCAGGAATAGCTGTGTTTTTGACTTTGTGAAGAGCTGCAAATTTTATTTGCAGATAGCCGAGACCATCCTAGATAAAAACTACAACTAAATCAGCCACAGATTTATATTTTTTCCTGAAAATTTCTGTTTTTGTTCGATAAAAAGAGACATATTTATGAGATGAAGCGAACTAAAAACGTACTTTTCGATACTGTTTATTAATTTTATTGTTTTCATATTTGTAATTGTCTTTGTCTTTGATTAAATGACGAAATACCTCGTTTTTTTCTTGAAATACTATCCAAACTGTGTTAGTATTCCATATAAAAAGTGCTGTGGAGTAGTTTTACTAACCAAGAGAAAATTTTTTACAATTGTTCTTTTTTGCAAATGTTTCGGATTTTGTACTTTGCCCTCGCGTGACCTTTTTTCCACTATTTACAAACGTACAATGCCATATAATAAAAAACTTACTGACCTCAACCGTTCGGGCAGTGCGCGAAAATATCCAACCTCGGTCTTGCTGTATTGACCTCGCTATAGCTCGGTGAATACAGCAAGACCTCGGTTGGATATTTTCATGTACTGCTCACACTCTCGGCCAGTAAGTTATTAATATTATTACAGAACAAATTGAAAACAATTGTATTGAAAAAAGTGTTTATAAACAAAAAGGTGGTTGCCAGTCCAATAGTAATACTTGAATTTTACGAATATATCTAACTTGGATGTTTTTAGAGCAAGGTGTGTGAAATATTTTGAAAAACGTTTCCGCGCTTTATATAGAAAACTGCAACTTCGTATAACGGTATAGTTGTTCTCGACGTTTAATATTGTATTTGTAGTTGAGCCAAAAGCGTTTAAGAAAGTGCTTAAAAACGAAACAGCCGGTTTCATTGCCACTTTGGAAGTCCGATACTTGAATTATACGTACATGTGTGAAAACTGAACGTTTTTGGTGCAAGGGAATGAAATATTTTGAAAATTTTATCTTCGTCATATTAGGCCATGTAGCGCCCGCATCTATTTTTCTTGCCGCATGGATTTTTTTTCTATTTTTTACTTTTAACTAAAATTACTATTTCCAGCGGACCGTGCGATTAGGAACCCACGCGTCGGCCATTTTATTACAGTTCACTGGTTCATATTGACAACGTGTATGATATTTGCCACAGGGTAGACACATACAGAGCTGTAACTGGCTGTCGTAAACGGCGGAAACTTACATTTTTATGTGCCAACTTTCTTTCAGGCGACCGGGCAAAACATGATCAACTGCACGTGCTCGGCAAGTTCCGCGAGCAGTTAAAGCGAGCCGCCACCCAATGGGATGCATGCTTCTGGTAACTTGCAGAGCACGCGTACAAAAAATGTGGGTACACTAGTTATAACTCTGTACATGTATCTACCCTGTGATATTGCGCTTGCGCCTTGGCAATTGAAATATTAATGAAAAGTGTAATAGCGGTGAGAATTTTATATCATGCAACCGCGCTGCGTGTTTGCGCATATTTTTTCAGTGCACCTACTTGAAATGTGAGTCGGTAAAAAAAATCCGCCCGCCCGCACGTTTTTTTTCTGCTGCCACTGATGAGTGATCATAAACCGGGATATTTTTTTACATGGCCCTATTAAAACTGCGACAAGTAATGAATTGTTTTCAACTGCATATAGTGGTGTCAAAAATGAGGTCAGAAAAGTTTTTATACAAACAAGAACGGCAGTTTTATCTACGATAAATTAAATAACGACAAATTAATTGTCTTAGACTTTAGTCAAATATATAAATATTTTAGGTGAATATCATTGATATTGTTATACGTTATAGACGTTGAAGAACTCTTGTTTGTAAAATTGTTATTTCGATTATTCCCTGTAATTGACACCCCAAAGCTCGTTAGAAACATTAAATTATGAAAAAGGCTAGTATAACGGCCTTAAGGCCGTTTTCCACTAACGCTCGCTTTGCCCGCGCGGGCGAAGCGTTCATTGTTTTTGACGCCCGTCACGCCCGTGTGATCAGAAAATGTCATTGACTGGCTAGGAAAATGGCGGCCAACATGCGTAATGCGACATGCGCGAGAACAGAAGCTTTAAAGTTTCCGACGTAAGTGGCCCTTCTCTATGGATCTTTATTCTATGGTTCAAGTGCAAAAACCTCCTATTGACAGATATTTTAAGGCAAATTGTATTATTGCCAGCTAGTCTACAAATAGTGCACCGTTATTGTGCCTTTGCCTTTGGGATTTTAAGTATGTATAAGCAATGATGTTGAAAGTTGTTAGTATTAACTGTGCAATCCAATGGCCGAGTGTTATAGCAGTAATTAAGCAATTATTATTTAATTCAAATGCATGATCGATTTTGTTGAAATATTCAGTTCACTTCCTTATAGTTATACATTGCCTTATTCATTTCATATAAAGAATATTGCGGATTTACGATATGTATGAATTCCCTTGTGACCTGATTACTGATGGAGGTCTGCAAAACATCAACTAATAAACTGTATACAGGTACATGAAGTCATCCAGTCACACTTCTTTCTATATCTGAGAAGAGCGTGGGGAACCCATCTCCTCTTCGAATCTTGCCACGAGAAATATTTGCGTATATGAGTATAACTATTCACTACGATCGATCGAGCTACTGATAAGCTGGCTTGAAAGTCCCGCACAAAAGACATGCATCTATCGACATTCAATTTATTCAAGATTTAGTCCATTTCAGTCAACACCAATAACAACCAATCACATATTGATTAAGGATTATACCCGGAAGACCCGAAATATTAACAACCTGATCTCAATTCCCCTTGTTACTAATAAGAATCCCCCAAATTCCTATGATATCCCGACTATATTGTCCACTAATGTTAGATCATTACCAAAGAAAATTGACGAGCTCCAGCAAATTGCAGAGCTAAACTCTGCAAGTGTTATTTGCATTACTGAATCGTGGCTATCACCTGACATTCCTGATCATTGCGTATCTATCCCTGGATTCAACTTATTTCGTAGGGATCGCATAGGATCTTCTGGTGGTGGGGTCTGTGTATATTTGGATCATAAAATACCTTGTAACTGTTTGGATTCATGTGACCAATCTGATGTAGAATCAATTTGGATTTCATTAAGACCACATAAACTCCCAAGAGAAATTACATCCATTATTCTAGGAGTAATATATCATTCAACATCTAATAAAGAACCTGAGAATGTTGTCCTTAGAGACCATGTGCAGAATAACCTTGACTCATTACTCTTTAAGGAACCTAACGCTCTTGTTTTACTTACAGGTGACTTTAATCCCACGTCTACAGGTTTTAAAATGAAATATATCACACAGGTGAACCATCTTAAACAACTTATATCTTTTAAAACCAGAGATTCTGCCGTATTGGATTGGCTGTTAACAAATAGACCTAAGATGTTTGAAGTATCTAGATTGCCAAAGGTTGGTTCGTCTGACCAATATAGCAAAACCAAATAGCAATATCATCTAAACAGACTATTACCAAAATTAGAATCCGGGACATGCGGAACTCTGCGTGGTGTGCCTTTGGACGATGGATAACCAAAAAAAACTGGTCATCGGTATTAAGTGCGAGTACGAGCAAAGATAAATTTGACCTCTTTATGTCAGAGCTTGACCAAGCAGTTAATACCTTTCTCCCACAGAAAATGATTAAAAAGCATCCGACAGATCGACCGTGGATTACTAATACGATAAAACTGTGGATTTCTAGACGCCAATGTGTATTCCAACAACAAGGAAAAAATTCTAAAGACTATAGTTTTTGGAGGAATAAGGTTCAACGTGCGATCCAGTCAGCAAAATCCAATTACTTTCATAGTAAGGTAGCAGATGTTGATAGAGTTAACCCTGTAAAGTGGTGGAAAGAGATTAAAAAACTATCAGGTCAAAATATCCGACAGGAATGGTATCATCAGTTCCTTGATAACAACATGGATATAGAATCCCTAGCTAATAAAGTGAACGACTTCTTTGTTAGTCTTACAGATTACTTTGCCCCTCTGAGCCAACCAACTCCACCTATATGCAAATCCCGGAAGAATTCTTGGTTACGGAAAGTGAGGTGTTTAAAGCATTAGCATCACTGCAAATTAGTAAGGCGATTGGCCCTGATAATATCCCGAATAGAATCCTGAAAGAGTTTGCTCTTGAACTGGCTCCAGTCATTCGTAATATTTACAACCAGTCAATGAAAGAAGCGAATATCCCATCACCACTTAAGTCATCTATCGTAATTCCAGTTCCGAAGATATCACCTCCTCAAACAATTGAAAATGATCTCCGCCCAATCTCGCTTACTTCTTCAATGGCAAAAGTTATGGAAGGCTTTACTTGCACTAGACTATTAAAGGACTTGGAAGGAAAAATCGACCCTCGCCA